GGGAGCCTGCTGTGTGCCAGCTGGGCTGTGATTCCCTCCCCTCTCGTAGTGGATCCATCCCGCAGTCCTGAGTGGTCCTTCCCCTCTTGGTCCTGGGGAGGAGTTGGGGCTCAGAGATCTGCCTGTGTACGGAGCCCCCGTGCCCGCCGAGGCTGGGGAGGCACCCCCTGCCCCAGAGGAGCCCAGAGCTGAGTGTGTCCCCTGCCCCGCCCTGTCTTGCAGCCGCGTAGTCGATCTGACCCCCTTGGTCCTCAATCCTGGAGGCTTCCACTTCTCGTACTTGGCCAGGAACAATGCGCACAAGCTCCACTGCCCTGGCTTCCCCTGGTAAGTGTGCCCCCGAACCATCTGGCCTCTGAGCAGCGTGCATGAGGGCTGGAAGGATAGTCAGTGTGATGGTCGCTTCCACTTCCAGGATGGACCCTAATGTCGTCAGGCGTGCTGGAAAGTTGCTCCCCCTTCCTAGTGTTTGTGCTGGTGGGAAACCAGAAACAAACAGCCCAGAGGCCAACAGAAGGGAACGATTCAGTCAGCTGTGGGCAGCCCCGTGCTTTATCTACATGTGTGTTTTGCAAAGCAGGGATTTACTGAATATGGGGTTTTTTTTGTTTGTTTGTTTTATTGCGATACGCAGGCCTCTCACTGTTGCGGCCTCTCCCGTTGCGGAGCACAGGCTCCGGATGCACAGGCTCAGCAGCCATGGCTCACGGGCCCAGCCGGTCCGCGGCATGTGGGATCTTCCCAGACTGGGGCACGAACCCGTGTCCCCTGTATCAGCAGGTGGACTCTCAACCACTGCGCCACCAGGGAAGCCCCTGAATATGGGTTTTTTATTACTGTTTTTGTCAAGTATTTCCCATGTCATTGAGTGTTTAGATTGGCTGCTTCATTGCATCAGATGACTTTTTTTTTTAAACAGCTTTATTGAGGTATTATTCACATGGTATAATTCACCCATTTAACATATACAGTTCCTGGGATTTCCTTGGCAGTCCAGTGCTTAGGACTCCGTGCTTCCACTGCAGGGGGCCGAGGTTCCATCCCTGATTGGGGAACTAAGATCCCGCAAGCTGCACGGTGTGGCCAAAAATGATTAAATAAATATATAAATAAATAAATAAACACACAATTCTATGGTCTTTGGTATATTCACAGTTATGAATGCATCACCACAATTAATTTTAGCACACTTTCCTCACCCCAGAAACCCATAGCCCTCACTCTTCCACTCGCCCCTCTTCAGCACTTTCTGCCTCTATAGATTCGCTTGTTCTGGACGTTTGCTATAAATGGTATTGTAAGATATGTGGTCTTTGTATCTGGCTCCTTTCAGTTGGTTAATGTTTTTGCAGTTCATCCATGTTGTAGCAGTACTCATTCTTTTTAAAATTTTCTACTCATTCTTTTTAAAATTTTCAAATAGATTTCATTTTTTAGAGTAGTTTAGGGTTTACAGTAAAACTGAGCTGAAAGTACAGAGAGTTCCATATCCCTCTGCCCTCCCCACACAGCCTCCCCCGCGATCAACATCTGCCAGAGAGTGGGACCTTTAATACAAACTATGACCCACATTGACGTGTCATTATGTAAAGTCCGTGGTTCACATTAGGGTCACTCCTGGTGACGTACATCTTATGGTTTTGGACAAATGTATAATGACATGTGTCCACTATTACAGTGTTGTATGGAATAGTTTCCCTGCCCCGAAAGTCCTCTGCCTATTTGGCCCTCCCTCTCTCTCAGCCCTAGGCAGCCACTAACCTACTTTCTGTCGCTATAGGTTTGTCAGTTCTGGACATTTTATATAAATGAAACCATACCATAAATTGGTCAGCTTCCTTGGCCGTGTGACAGACGTCCAGCATGTGCGGTACCCTCACTCAGCGTGTGTGTGTGCATGCGTGTGTGTCTATGCGTGTGGTGGGTGGGCATAAATATGTTATCTCCCACTTCCAGAGAAAACGGGTGAAGGTCAACATGCCCTTCTTGCACCTGCTGCGCGGCTTGTGGGGTCTTAGTTCCCTGACCAGGGATTGAGCCTGGGCTCTTGGCAGTGAGATGTGGGGTCCTAACCACTGGACCACCAGGGAATTCCCTGGCATCACTATCTTTATGTGCTAAGCTGTCCCTGAATCTCAAGATGAATTTCCAGAAGTGAAATTACAAGGGAAAGGGTAGGAACAGTTTTCAAAAGCACTACCATTTTTCAGATTCTGAAACAGGATCTAGTTACTGTAGACAGTTTGAAAACCACCCAAAAAAGACACCAATCACTCTCACTCCCAAGGTCAGAAATAACCATTGTTGGCACATATCCCTGTTTCGCTGTAGGTGTTCCCCATGGACACGAGTGTACGTGCACAGGTAGTAGTTTGTCACGTAATCAGGAGCGTCCTGTGAGCAGTTTTGCAGCCAGTTCTGGAACATGTTGCTTCCCTGTCATTAAAAATACCTAGAAATTCACCAGTAATCATAGATGCAGAATACCCACCCCACTGTGTGGACGGAGCATCATTTACTCAACTACCCTTGCTTGTTGAAATATTTCATTAATGGGGACAATTTTTAGCCTCCTGTTATGTATTGCTTTCTGAGTGAGCTGTGCTGTCTTGGCACTATCCCCCAAAATGGGTTATTTTAAATTGTTTTCTAAAAGTTTACAAAAGCATAACATACTCTATGGAAAAAAGGTCACAATATAGAAATGAATACATGAAATATGAGTCCCAATACATTGGTTAATTTTTTAAATCAAATCAGGATCATACTGCACGTACTTTTCAGCTACTTGTTCTTTCCATTACTGTACCATTGGGGTGTCTTTACTTGCTGGGATGTACAGACCAACTTTGTTCCTTAAACAGCTGTGGAATAGTCCACTGCATGCCTGTACCATGGTTTTTTTAGCTGTTCCCTGATGGACGTTTGGATTGTCTCCAGGTTTACACAATCACAAACATTGCTGCAATGAACAGCCTTGAGCAAACATCCATGGGAGGGATTTCCAGCAGCAGTAATGTATCGAGAGCCATCCCACAGCCTGGGTTTTGTCGTGTGTTTCTCTGATGGCCCTGTGTGCCGTGTCCCCCTCATGGACCCATGTCTTGCGTGTTTCCTGAACAGGCCCTCAGCCTGTAGTGGTTCTGCCAGCACCGAGGAGATGCTATCCCCATCTGTGAAGGCCTCCATCTTCACCCCACCTGTCCTGCTCAAGTTCCAGCCTGTGCCCAGACCCAAAGATGAATCAGAGAATAATCCTGGCAGCGCAGAGTCCACGCCCCACCAGAGGGACCCATAACCTCTTCTGTACAGACCACGGCAGGAGAATGAATAAAGTTCCCCTGGTGGTGCCTTCCTCGTGCCACACTACCCAGGGGCCGTGCAGTCCCACGGACTCTCTGCAACCCCAAGAGGTGGTCAGGGTAGCGCAAGCCTGAGGCTCTTTGGCCTGAGACTGCACACAGTAGGTGGTCAGGTCAGTGAAGTCCCCTCACTTGCACCTAACCTGGGAACTCAGTCCTGTGCACTTTGAAAGAGTGTTGAGTGCGGGGAGTGTGCTGCCCCTCCCTGCAGTAACTCTGTGGCCCCGTTGTGCCTCACTTGACCCCACTGAGTTGCAAGACTACCAGTTTTTGCTACACCTGGCTCCTAAACACAAGGCTTATCTGGGTGCAAGTTTAGAAACAGTGGTCTGTTCCCTCCTGGGAGGAAAATGAGCTGGTGTGTCAGTTTCCAATTTGGCACCTCCCTAAAGAGTTCCAAAGAGTTTCAAAGACACGTGACTCTGATTACCTCCCAAGCTGACTTTAGAATCAAACCTGTATGTGAGACATGAGTCCTCACAAAGTGCCCAATGGTGCTGGCCATTAGCAGATGTCGGTTGAGCCCTGTGGATGCCCTGCACCTTGCTTGCGACTGGAGATAATAGACCAAGGAGTTGGGGTCCTGGCCCTTAAGGAGCTTATGTCCCATCCATGTGTGTGTGGTAAGCCAGTACACAGATAAATTAGTACAGGATTACAAATTGTGATAAGCCCTTGTGGGAGCTGAGATCGAGGTGTATGGGGTGACTGGGTGGACAGTGGTACCTTGAGGAGAGTGGACACTAGGGGTAGAAGGGGGTGGAGAATTATGCTTTTACCATACATGTTAAATTTGAGTTCAGTCGGTGCCCAGGTAGAGGTCAGAAGGCAGAAGTGCTGGCCATTTCGTGTTCGGAGACAAGGGATACAGGTATTTAAAGCCATGAGCCTGGTCTAGGTCACCCAGTGCTTGAGTGTAGAGGGAGGTCCAGGGCTCGGCCGGGGCATACAAACGTGGTGGTCCAGCCGAAGGAAGGGTCAGTCAGAAGAGCCCGAAGGGATCATCAGGGCTTTGGACCTTCAGGCTTCATGGGCACCAGCCCCTGGGCCGCCCAGGAGAGAGGCCTGCAGGCGGTGGGGACCAAATGGGCGGTAAGTGGGCAGGCAGCGAATGTGTACGTCGCTTTGAAGGTTTCAGCCTGGCGGGGAGCAGTGATGGGGCCGAGGCTGGGGGTTCTTGGGGCTCCAGGCCTAAGACCTGAGTATCCAGGGCGGGTTTGGGCGGGAATGGCGTTGAGCCGGGGCCGGTGGGGCGAGGCGGTCCAGCTAGAGGCCCCCAGGAAGACGGGGTTTCGAGGCGGAGGCAGCTCAGCCCCGACGTGGTCGAGCCAACCGCGAACTCAGCCCAGGGACCCAGGGAGCCGCCTGCGCCAGCCGGCCATGCGCTTGGGCACCAGGAACCACAATTCCCGGCGTGCCCAGCGCCCGCTTCCGGGGCGGGTCCGAGAGACCCGGAAGTAGTTACGGAGCTCGGCCGAGAGGGCGCGGTGTGACTTGCGTGCCGTTGTTTTTTCTCGCTCGCTGGTCCTGCCGCCGCCGCCGGCCGCCGCCGCCGCCGCCGCCGCCGCCGCCGCCGCCGCCGCCGCCGCCGCCGCCGCCGCCGCCGCCGCCGCCGCCGCCGCCGCCGCCGCCGCCGCCGCCGCCGCCGCCGCCGCCGCCATGGGGAAGCGACAGCACCAGAAGGACAAGATGTAAGTTGAGCCGCCGCCGGGAGCGGGCCTGTCCGCCACTCTGCGCCGCGCCGAGTCCCTCTCGACGTCACTTCCCCGGGAGCCTCCGCCGTTCCCCGGCGGGGCGGCTCCCTCAGGCGCGGGTCTCTCGGGGTCCTGTCCCCTCGGCCCCTCCGCTCGCCAGCTCTGACCCCGCCGGCTTTCCCCGGGCGCGGTTCTCGCTCCCCAGCCTGCTCACGGGCTACAGCACCTTCCAATTAAAACAAACCCACCTGGCACCACCAGCTGCCATCGAGTTTCTTTGATTTTTTTTATGACAAGAAGAGGAACATCTGTGTCGATCGGCTGTTTTCTGCTTTCCCTTTGAAACCACTCCAGTCGGGCTCTGCCCGCTGCACTGCTCTTGTCGTGATCCTGTAACTTCCGTGCGTCTCCATCCGGGGGTCAGTCAGTTCTCAGTCCTCGTTTTGTTGAGCTTCTCAGCAGCGTAGGACGCGGCTGACCGCCTCTCTCCCTCTGAAGCCCTTGTACGGTGCCTGGGACACCACACTCTTTGTTTTCAGGCTACCTCAGGGGTCTTTCTTTGTTGGTCTCTTCTGCTGGATCCTCCTCCCCCGTTCCGGACCTCCTACGTCTCCTCCCCCAGGCTTCCTCTCCATTTACATCCTGCCCGGTGGGATCTCTCCAGTCTTGCTTAGGACAACTCCACTTGGAGATCCGATGGGCTTCTCGAATTCATTGTGGCCCACGGGGAAGCAACTCTTGATTTTCAGCACCTGAGCCTGTTCCTCCCCCATTTCCCTATCTCAGTGGTCACACCGCTCTCTCCTCGCTGGGGGTCAGAGGCCTGGGAGTTTCCCTTAGCTCCCTCTGCCTCCTGTCCATCAGTACGTCCTGCTGGCTCTTCCAGGAATTGACTGCTTCTCACTCGTCCACCAGTCCTCCCGCAGGTGAAGTTGATGCCAGCTCCTTCTTGGACCTTTGTAGTCGCCCTCAGATTGGTTTTCTGCTGCCTATTGCTTGACCCTCTGTACACAGCAGCCAGAGTGATGCTTTGAGGACTTACGCTAGATCAGGGTCCTTTCATCCCGCCTGAAGCAAATCCAGAGTCCTCCCACGGCCCCTGAGGCCCCTTGTGATACGACCACCACCTGCTCTTCCATGATCAGTGGCCCCGTGCCCCCATGTGCACTCTTTTTCAGTGGCTTTGCCCTTCTTTGGGAGCACACTAGCTTTTCTTGCCTCAGGGCCTTTTTTTTTTTTTTTTTTTTGGTTCGCTGGCCTCCCACTTCTGCGGCCCCTCCCGTTGCAGGCTCCGGACGCGCAGGCTCAGCGGCCATGGCCCATGGGCCCAGCCACTCCGCGGCATGTGGGATCCCCCCCGGACCGGGGCACGAACCTGTGTCCCCTGCATAGGCAGGCGGACTCTCAACCACTGCGCCACCAGGGAAGCCCTTGCCTCAGGGCTTTTATACGTGATTAGTCGGCTTGGTCCCTCTTCCCCGGAAAGCTCTCTCCCCAGGTCTTCGCGTGGCCAGCTGCTTCTCATTGTTAACCCTGCTCTTTGGAGCAGGACCGTTTGGGTTTGCTTAATAGTTTGTGTATCCCCTTGTTCTGTTGTGTTTTTCACTATGTGCCTGACACAGAGTACGTGTTAAAAAAGCATTTTCCAAATGAGTGAAATGATTTCGGTTATCAACTTCTTACTTCCAGAGACTATTCTTTTTATAAAGAGGTGGTGGTAAGATTATCTTTCTCTCCAGGTACATTACCTGTGCTGAATACACTCACTTCTATGGTGGCAAGAAACCAGGTAAGGCATGAAATCCTTCTGTTCCTTTCGGTGTGTGTGTGGGTATAATTAAGGAATGATGCCTTCACAATGCAGTAAGTGTAAAAATGAACAGTTAATAAGAACGTGGAAACTATAGTAGACGGGTTGAGGACACAGTTCACAAAAGAGGAAATACACTAAACATAGGAGAAAATGTTTAATATTGGTGGTGATTTTTTTTTAACATAGGTTACAATAATATTTTCTCTGTCAAGTTAATAAAGAATACAAAGAACGGGGACTTCCTTGGTGGCGCAGTGGTTAAGAATCCGCCTGCCAATGCAAGGGACATGGTTTCGAGCCCTGGTCCAGGAAGATCCCACATGCCGTGGAGCAACTAAGCCTGTGTGCCACAACTACTGAGCCTGTGCTCTAGAGCCCACGAGCCGCAACTGCTGAGCCCCCACATGTCACAACTGTTGAAGCCCACGTGCCTAGAGCCTGTGCTCTGCAACAAAGACAAGCCACCGCTATGAGAAGCCTGCTTACTGCAACAAAGAGTAGCCCCTGCTCGCTGCAACTAGAGAAAGCCCGCGTGCAAGCAATAAAGACCTAATGCAGCCAAAAATAAATAAATTTAAAAAAAAAAAGAATGCAAAGAGCAATAATACCTAAAGCTATCAAGGCTGCAGTCAAAAGAGCACTGTCACGGTCACTGGTGGAAGCAAAACTGGCCCAGCCTCTTGGAAAGCAAAGCCAAGAGGGAGCCCCACAGCAGGGGTGTTAGTTAGGGTTGTGGCAGAAACCCACCTGCGGTATGTACTTTTTCCTCTAAGCTATTTCTTGATGTACCCCACGTTTTGGTTCTGTCTAGAGAAAGGTTTTAGTACACAGCAATTTTTGCACTGGGTAATTTACATCAGCGTTTTCTTTTGTTTTTTTCTTTTTTTTCTTAATCTTAACAGGTTTTTATTTTTTTATCGATGTATTGTTGACCTGTAACACTGAGTGACTTCCAGGTGCACAATGCAGTGGTCTGATATTTCTGTGCCTTGCAAAACAAAACCCAAAATAGGTCTAGTTACCGTCTGTCACTACACACAATTATTATTATTATTTATTTATTAAAATTTATTTATTTTATTTATTTTTGACTGTGTTGGGTCTTCGTTGCTGCACGTGGGCTTTTTCTAGTTGCAGCGAGCAGGGGATATTCTTTGTTTCAGTGCGTGGGCTTCTCATTGCAGTGGTTTCTGTTGTTGAGGAGCATGGACTCTAGGCGCACGGGCTTCAGTAGTTGTGGCACACGGGCTCAGTAATTGTGGCTTGCGGGCTGTAGAGCGCAGGCTCAGTAGTTGTGACGCACGGGCTTCATTGCTCCGCGGCATGTGGGATCTTCCTGGACAAGGCCTCAAACCTGTTTCCCCTGCATTGGTAGGTAGATTCTTAACCACTGAGCCACCAGGGAAGCACCACACACAATTTTTAAGATATCATTGACTACAGTTCCCGTGCCGTGCGTTTCATCCCCGTGACTTACATGCACTTTTTCTTAAAACGTAGTTGACTTGTTGATAGAGTACATATGTGAAATTTTTTACAGAGTAAGTTTTCTGTCCTTTATTTTCATTTTACACAGATATCGCACAAACAGATTTTCGTCGTCTACCTTTTGACCACTGCAGGTAAGAGTTTGGAGAGTTTAACCTTTCCCTCGTGATTGTTCTCGGGTACTCAACTGTTTGACAGTGAATCTGATCCCTGGAGATGCAGGTGTAGCTTCTGTCTGCGTTCTCCTACCCGGATCTTCCGTGGACTGGAAGAAGGGACCCAGCAATGGAAAGGAATGATGATGGTTTTCTGCTTGTTCTGTGTCTCCATTTATGTGCATTGTCTTTTAACCTTGTTCTTACCTACAGAGGTAGGTAGGCTCTGTCATCAAGCCTGCCTTATAGTTGAGAGAATCAGTGCTTTGAAGAGTGAGCTCCCTCTCCCAGGTATCCCATCTAGGAAGTGGTCTGACTGTGAGCCCAGGGCTTTCATGCTTTCCTTTTGGTCCAGAGTCTGAGTAGTAACAGCAGCCCAGAGAGTCATGACACTGTGGCCCCTCCCCCTTCCCTGAGAATGCAGGTCACTGGGGGCGGGGAGGGACCCAGCTGCACAGCCACTTGGATGTCTCTTCCCACCCTCATTAGACTAATGAACCCCAACACATTGGGGCTTGGGGGAGTGGGCAGGTCTGGTGGTCCCCATGGGCTTGAGTTTCCCCAAGTTTGAGCAGTGGTCAGCTCTGTCCTGGACACACGTGTCTACACAGCATTCTCCCCATCTTGCCCTCCTCTCCCTCTGACCAAAGTTCTGATTCCATAGGTCAGGGTGAGCCTTGAGAGCTGACCAAGCTCTCCTGGTGATGCCAGAACTGTGGTGGGGCAGGTCAGCCGATACCACAGGGCAGTGAGGGGGCAGGGGAGGCTGGGGGTGCAGCCGCTGAATCTGCCCACGGCTTCCAGGAGGCTCCCCACATGGTGAGTGAGGGCTTCGCCTGTTTCACGTGGCTCAGGAAGTATGAACAAGTGAGGCCCAGACATCAGCAGCTGCATTTCTCCCACCGCCACCAGTTTTGTCATCAGCCTCCTGGAAATGTAGCCGTAAATTGGTTCTATGGAGATCCTTGGTTCTCAGTTCTTCCAAGAGGTCTCTGCTGTGTGTCTCGCCCATTTTGTAACTACCTTGGGTTCTGGGTAACACGTGCTTTGAGAATGTGCCCTTCAGGCCCTGTTAGGAGAAGACGCATGTTCACTGTCTTGCTGTTTGGAGCTTGCCTTGTTGTTGGGTCCTGCTCTGGTCGGTCCCCAGCAGTACTACTGGGTTAGAGTAGAAGGTTGGGCCAGAGGGGGCGGTGGTGAGGACTCCCCACAAGGGCTCCCTGGGGCAGCATTCGGGGAGGTGACCCCAATGCCGCCAGGCTGTCCAGGTCCTGGTGCCTGACCTGTGCTGACCGAACTCGTAGGTGACTGATATACAAACAAGCCAGGTCAGCCAGGGCTCTTGATGACTAGTGATGGAGACCCCATGCCAGAAGACTCCTCCACCTGTGGGCTCTGCTTTTCCGAAGCAGACCCTCCACGAGGCAGGAAGTGGCCTTCGACACCCATATCCCTGCACTGGAACTTACCCAGGGCTCCCGGGCGTCAGGTCTTGTCTGAGTCACTTACCCACTCCTTGGAAACATGGCAGGAACGGAGCCTGCTGTGCAGCCAGGAGCAGGCAGGGCTCCTCTAGACCATGGTAACCCCCTGCCCCCAGAGTCTCCTGGGATGGGAGGGGGCAGTGCTCAGCAGTGACCCTGTCCTTCCTCAGTCTCTCTCTACAGCCCTTTGTCTACCCGGTCTGCACCCCCGAAGGCGTCGTCTTTGACTTGCTGTGAGTTTTCCCTTGACTTCTGACTAACAGATGTGGTGAGATTGTTGACACCCACTCAGGAAGGGGCTGTGGGGCCAGCTGGAGTGTTTGGGCTCCAGGCAGTGCTGAGCCTGGACACACCGAGGTCCCAGCAGCCTTGGGAGCCCTGGATGGGCCTCAGGCATGAGGTGGCAGTGCTGCTGTGACCTCTGCCTGGAGGGGCGTTGGCCTCTCCCCCGTGTGGGGGTCCCTAGTGCTCTAATTCGCACCCTGTACCTGTTAGAGTGTTAATGAGCTGAGTAGCTTTCACTTCATGAGGGCAGAGTCATAGTTGAGGCGCATAATTTCCTAGTCCTTCCCTTTGAAGCTTTATGCTCAGTTTTATGTCCCAATGTAAGCCAGCTTCTGTAATTGTCTCATAGTTCAGATTCAGTTTAGAAGATTTGCAAAATACTTCAAAGGAATAGGGAAAATTGGCCATAATTGCATTGTCCGGGGAAAGCACTGCCAGTGTCTGGAGTGCTCTTCTGGGAGTGCATTTGTGGTAACCTGCTTGAGGTCACACTGTAGAAGATAGTTCAGGATCCAGTTTTCACTCAGATGAGAGCTTTTCTCCCCTATGTCATTCAGAATTCTCTGGAAGTGTGATTTTTGATGCTGGCCCAGTATTTCATTGTATGTACGTCTTTTTCTGTTAATGGTATTTATCCATGTTTATGCATAAGTAGAGTAAAAACCCTGAACGTACTTTGAAGCCCATGTAGCCAGAAATATTCCCCCATTTCCTCTGATGAGGCAAAAAGTGAAGTGGAGTGTAGCCCCTTCCCAGCTCCCCCTGGAGGCAGACCCCTTGCACTGTGGCCCTGTCGCCAGGCTGCACCGGCCCTCCCGCTGACGCGCACTGTCCTCTTCCCTTCAGGAATATTGTCCCTTGGCTTAAGAAGTATGGCACGAACCCCAGCAACGGAGAGGTAGGTGGCTGTGCAGGAGCTTTGGTGATGCCGGTGAACACCAGGTGTCAGGTACAGGAACGTGGTGGAGGACCCACACCGGTCCTTTCTGGAGTGTTCCCCACTTGTGTGCACGTGTGCAGGCACCTGTCTTACCTCGGTCGTGGACGCAGTTGATTGGTGACCCCACTGCCCCTTGCTTCCACCCCCGAGGTGTCAGTGCGTCCGTGCGCCCTCCTGTGGTGGCACAGTTCGGGGGGGCATTTGGAGTTCTGCTGTTGCAGATGGTGGTCACACATGCGGTGTACCCCTGGGACTGCTGGACGCTGGGGGCTGCGTTTTCGGCTTGGTAGCTCCTGGCAAGTTGCACCCTGGAGGAGTCGTACTGTTCCAGACTCTCATCAGCGGCGTGTCAGGGGAGATGCGTGTCCTAGACCCTCGGCAGCTCTAGGAGCCACCTGTCTCTTTGGGTGATGTACTTGTGGGCACCAGCGTTCTGTGACGTGTGCTCTGTGGAGAGTTAGGTTAAGCAGCTGTTGATGTGTCACACGTACAGGTGCAGGAGAGAATCTGGAGTCGAGTTCCAGCATACTTCCCTGCTGGACACCCCCCGCCCCTCCGCATGCCTTGTTGTAAAGCCCCAGGGCGCCCACTTTCCGTTCCTCCTGCTGCTCTCTGTTCACTTCTCAGCTCGCCTTCCCTCTGCCACATTTATTCGGTTGCACCCATTCACTCACAGAAAGGGGTTAGCCGTGCAGCATGGGGCCTGGCGCTGTGAGCAGAGTGGGACGGGATGCTGACCAGAGGAGGATGGGGGACCTGGGGGCGTCTGTGGAGCAGTGCTGTGGAAGCTGTGACCCGGGGACGAGGGGAGATGGTGGCAGATAGTCTGAGTTACATCGGGGGGTCTCGCCAGCCCTGGAGGGAGCCTGGCTTCGTTCTGGATGGGCTGGAGGCCAGATGGGTTAAGCCGTAGCGAGCTGTGATCTGGCCTGTTTGGAAGCCTGGCTCTGGCTGCTGTGTCGGGACCAGACCTCCGGGAAGTGAGGGTGGAAGCAGGGAGGCAGCAGGGGCCGTGTACTTTCTGGGCAAGAGGTGCTGGGTGAGCCTGGGCTAGGGTGCAGGCTGAGGAGGTGCAGTGCAGGTGCTAGAGGTGGGCGAGCAGGGAGGGCGGGACCTTCTGCAGACCCTGGAAGCCAGGTTGGCTCCCCCAGGGTGTCAGCCTGATAGAAGTCCGGCCTGCGTTGGGGGAGTGGCGGGCAGTGTGGTGATTGGCACTGCGAAGCTGGGAGCTGGGCTGGGTGGTGGTCAGAGCCCTGTCTGCCGGGATTAGGCCTGGTCAGCTCTGTGACAGACCCTGGGGGCCCTGTGGAGAGTGGAGGCTGTCATTGTCATCGTATTTGGGGAGGCCCAAGAGGACCCGGGTGCGGTGAGGCTAGGGGGAGGGAGGGAGGCGGAAGAGGGGTGTGAGCAGGGTCCTGGTCACCAGCCTCGGACGTGTGAAGTGTCGTGGGTTCAGTCTTTGCTCAGCTGTGCGCTTGTTACCTGTGTTCTGGAGGTGGATGTGTACTCTGGGGCCCTGGGCGGTGGCCTTGTTTTCGGGATGCACCGCCTCCCCTGGGATCAGGCTGCGGCTGTGTCGAGGCTGGGGCTCGCTCCTCTGTCGGTGGGGGCTGCGCTTTGCCATCGCCCCCCAGCCCCCCGTGTTTCCTGGTCCACCTCTGGCCCCCCGTCCTCGGTAAATGTGGCCAGCCGCTCCCCGGGTGCTCCCCAGCCCCACAGCATGCCAATCGCCTGCCCCCAGCCATCACCTCTGCTGCGGGTGTCCTGTCAGGGAGTCTATGGTACATCCTCAAGTGGGGCCCGTGCCCCTCCCGGCCTGTGCCCAGAGTCCCCACGGCTGCGGCCCTGAGGACCGTCCCTGTGGTGTCAGCTGCTGTGAGCTCCTGTCACCTCCCAGGACCCCAGGAGGAGGGTGCTGCATGTGGGTCTCCCTGGGTTGGCTGTGCCTGGGGCGGGCACCCACCATCTGTCCATAGGTGTGTGTGGGGGGGTGGTTGGCTAACGAAGGCAGGGCCGAGGTGACTCAGGGAGTGGGCACTGGGCTGGGTGCGGGGACTGTGCCAGGGGAGGGAGGATGTGGGGCAGAACTGGTTTCAGCCCTGGCGGAAGGATGCCCGGTGTCTCTTCCGCGTGGCCCTTGGAGCTGGCCCTTGGTTGCTGCAGGGCCTGTGCCTCCCCATCCAGGGTCTCCCTGCTGCCCCCTCACTTCCTCTGACAGAGGCCTCCCCACTGGGCAGCTTTCCTCCAGCTGCTGGACTTTGCTTTATTGTCCAGGTTCCTGGAGAAGAGGTGAGCCGCAGACGAAGTCCAGAAGTTTTGAGAGAGGATCCCGTCCCATCCCCTCTTGGCATTTGCATGTATTGACTCCTCTTCCCCCACGTTGTAGTGCCTGGTGTTTCTTGGGTCGTCACACAGCAGAACAGCAGGGCAAATGCCTGGGTCCCCACTGCCCAGCTGAGGAGATACTGATTTGGCCAAAAAGTTTGTTCGGATGCCTCTGCCGTTTTTCATGTGAGTTACTTGTTATTATTAATTACGCTTTTTTCAGAAACTGGACGGGAGGTCCCTGATCAAGCTGAACTTTGCAAAGAACAGTGAAGGTGAGTAATCCTTTACAGCCAGTTTTAGGATTGGCCCGCAGGACCCGAGGCCCCCGCCTCTCACCAAGTTTTTGTTCCTTTCTGATCAGGCTGGAGGCTTGCTTTTGATTTCTCAAAGGCTAATAATTTTTTCTTAAAGGTCCAGATAGTTGTTTTTTGTTTTTTTTATTTTGTGGTATGTGGGCCTCTCACTGTTGTGGCCTCTCCCGTTGTGGAGCACAGGCTCCGGACGCGTAGGCTCTGGACGCGTAGGCTCAGCGGCCATGGCTCACGGGCCCAGCTGCTCCGCGGCACATGGGATCTTCCCGGACCGGGTCACGAACCCGTGTCCCCTGCATCGGCAGGCAGACTCTCAACCACTGCGCCACCAGGGAAGCCCAGGTCCAGAAAGTTTAAAGCTGGGGTGGGGGTGAAACCTCCGGCTTGGGGCACTTCTTCCCACAAGGGCACTTGGGCCGTGTGGGCCTCCGGTGGCCTTTATGGGTCCAGCTGGGCCCCACGGGAGACAGGCCCTGCCTGGCCGTGGCTCTGGTCCAGTCATCGCTGGAGACATGCTGCTCAGGCTGCGGCCCAGGGCAGGCAGCCAGGCAGTGGGTGTGGGGGGTCTGACGGATTTACCAGGTGGCTCTTGGGCTGGTTTCCACTTGGCACTGGTCATAAAGCCCCAGTCCAGGCCTGGGGTCCTGCTCTGCACTCCTCCACACCCTCCATTGTTCTCATTGGCCAGACGCCTGTGCCGAGGCGACCTCCGTGGACACCCACCTTGTTCTCGGTTCTCTGTGGGCCTGGCGCCGTGCCCTGGGCGCGTGCGGGTGCCGTGGTTGAGGTCGGTGTCAGGGCTCACTGGGCGGGTGTGTTCCGGGAGATGCTGGAGCAGCTGAGGCTGGCCTGGCTCCCAGCAGGTGCCAGATGGCAGTGAACGAGCAAGCGGGCCTTGGTGACCAGGAGCACAGCATCCCATAGATGGTCCCTGGGTGCCATGTGGCTCCCTGCTCTGAGAGCGGGTGATTCAGGGAGGCCCTCGGTGTGTCTCCTTCACAAGTGTTTACTGAGCGCCTGCTGTGTGCAGAGACCAAGACAGGCCGGGTCTCTCCCGGAACAAAAGGGAGGGAGGAAATTGGAAATGAGATCACTGTAGTGCGTCAGGTGCTGCATGTAACAGGTCAGAGGTAAAGCAGGGTGAGAGAGGGTCACAGGACGACTCGCTGACAGGGTTTGAGTATAAATCTGGGGGGAGGGGGAGGAAGGGCAGGGGAGGGGAGCCCTGTGGGGATGTGGAGAGACCATTCTGGGCAGTGGGCTCAGCCTGTGCAAAGGCCCCAAGGCACAGCCAGGAGCCCAGTGTTGCTGCATCAGGGTGAGCAGAGCGGGAAGCAGGGTCTGTGGTCCAGAGTCAGGTGGGATGGGGTGCAGAGCAGTCATGCGGGGCTGGGGTGGCCACGGGAGAACTCAGAGATTACAGCAAGAAAGATCTGACCTAACTTTGCCTTTTTTTAAATTTTTACTAAAAAAAAAAAAAAAAATTTTACTATGATCTAGAGATTGCCTTTTTTTGGCTTTGTTTTGTCTTTTAGTTGAAATTTTTTTTTAAATTAATTTATTTTTGGCTGCATTGGGTCTTCGTTGCTGCACGTGGGCTTTCTCTAGTTGCGGCGAGCAGGGGCCGCTCTTCGTTGCAGTGTTCAGGCTTCTCTTGTTGCAGAACATGGGCTCTAGGCGCGTGGGCTTCAGTAGTTGTGGCATGCAGGCTTAGTAGTTGTGGCTTGCGGGCTCTAGAGCGCAGGCTCAGCAGTTGTGGCACACGGGCTTAGTTGCTCCGTGGCATGTGGGATCTTCCTGGACCAGGGATTGAACCCATGTCCCCCACATTGGCAGGTAGATTCTTAACCACTGTGCCACCAGGGAAGTCCTTTCCTTTTTTTTTTTTGTTAATTAATTTATTCTTGGCTGCATTGGGTCTTCATTGCTGCATGTGGGCTTTCTCTAGTTGCAGCAAGCAGGGGCTACTCTTCATTGCGGTGGGCGTGCTTCTCATTGCGGTGGCTTCTCTTGTTGCAGAGCACGGGCTCTAGGTGTGTGGGCTTCAGTAGTTGTGGCATGTGGGCTCAGTAGTTGTGGCTCACAGGCTCTAGAGCACAGGCTCACTAGTTGTGGCACATGGGCTTAGTTGCTTCACGGCATGTGGGATCTTCCTGGACCAGAGCTCGAACCTGTGTCCCCTGCATTGGCAGGCGGATTCTTAACCACTGTGCCACCAGGGAAGTCCCAAGTTGACATTTTCAGGGATGTGAAAGTAGAGAGAATTCGGGACTTCCCTGGCAGTCCAGTGGTTGGGACTGTGCACTTCCACTGTGGGGGGCCCATGTTTGATCTCTGGTCTGGGAACTAGGATCCCGTGATGTGGCCAAAAAAAAAAAGAAAGTAGAATTACTGTGTGACTCCCTGCCCCGTATCCATCCCCAGCTTCAGCTCCCATCCATTGTCAACGTGTCTGATTTTACTTATGCTAGCATTCTGCACGTACTCAGGTGGTTTTAAGCAGACACCTGACATCATACTACCTTGTGCTAAGTACTTCACTGTGCATCTCTAAAAGCTAAAGGTTTAAGAAATAACAACCACAATACCGTTGTCACGTCTAAAATGTTAGTAGGAATGCTGTAGTATCATTGACTGTCCAGCCAGTGGTCAAGTTTCCAGAATGCTCTCATAATTATTTTTTGTAGTTTTGAAATCAGGATTTTTAGAGTCCATACAACTCAAGGTCTTTCATCTCTAAGTGTTCCCCTTTCTGCAGTGTTCTTGCTGGGACTTGAACAGGCTCCCTGGCTGTGGGCGGGTGTTGGTGGGGTGGGGCAGGGCACGGAGGGCAGCCGGGGCTGGTTGTAGTAACCCAGGCGAGGGACGCAGGAGGTACGGGGACGGGGCAGGGTCTGAAGGACAGGCTACTGGTGGGTGGGCAAGGGTGACGGATGCCCGAGGTGGAGAGGGAGGCCAGGTGGGCTGGGGGCTGACAAGGCCGACTTTGCTGAAGAAGGCCCTGCAGGGGTTGGGTCTTGCAGGATGAATGGGAATTCATGCTCTTGGAGGAGGAGCTTGAGCTGTGGGCTGTCCCCCGGGTCACCCTGGGCGTGCTGATGCAGGGTTCCGCCTCTCCCGCTCTCTGACCTTGGCTCTCTGACCTTGGGCGTGTGCCCCCTCTCCAGGGAAGTACCACTGCCCTGTGCTGTTCACCGTCTTCACCAACAACAGCCACATCGTGGCCATCAGGACCACTGGCAACGTCTACGCCCACGAGGTGGGTCCTTGGGGAGCCCCAGGCCGGCTCATGGGGTGAGAGCCACCGGCGCATCCAGGAGATGGCAGGGCCTGCTCGTGTCCTCCAGACTGGACCGGGGCAGTTCTGCCCACTGAGCAGGTCCTTGTTCCCTGGTGTCCCCCACAGGCATCGGCAAAGACCTTGGAGGGACCTCAGCTCCTAGTGCCGCCCCAGGGGATCACATGTTGGGGGGGGGGTCCCGATTTCCACACCCGTCCTGCTCTGGGCCTGCTTTGGGCTGGGTGCAGATGGCAGGGCTGTGGCCCCATGATGCGGGAAACCCTCCCTAAGCCTTTTTCACGCCCATCCATGGAGGTTGGCCCCGTGGGGCTCTGGGGTCATGGATTCGGGTTGCTCATTGGGAGACAGATGTGTGACAACAGCAACCTGTCTGGGGCGCAGGAAGCCCCGCCCCTTGGTGGCACACACTTGTCCCCCCCACTTGGTCCTTTCCCTACCTCTGGGCGGGCTCTGGGCTGCCAGGTCGGGGGGCAGGCAACGTGACAGCGGACTTTCTCCTGGCTTTAGGCGGTGGAGCAGCTAAACATCAAGGCCAAGAACTTCCGAGACCTGCTGACCGACGAGCCCTTCTCCCGGCAGGACATCATCACCCTACAGGTGAGTGTCCCCTTCCCTGCCTGCCTGGGGACCACCCGCCCAGGACCTTGGCTCCTCCTGCCTCAGTGGTCTCGCAGCCCCCTGCCTGTGTAGCTCCCAGCTGTCCCGGCCGTTGGCAGAGCCCCTCCCACCCTCCCTGCCCTCAGTCACCCTGGGCCTCCACACAGGCTGCCTGCTCAGTCCAGGGCTCACTGCTCCCCTCCGAGGCTGCCCCTGCCGTGTCAGGGCCCTCGTCTCTGCCCCCAGAGCCACCTCCATGTTCCAGCAGCCCCGTTGGAGGCCTGAGGGCTGGGGCTGGTGTGCTCAGGACCCAGGGGCGAGTGTAGGGTGTGCCTGTAGGTGTCAGAGCCCCGAGTGAGTTCATGAGAACCCGGCCCTAGAAAATCAGGGTGTCTAGATCCTCCTGTGTGGCTCATCCCGTTCTAATCAGAGGCCGGTGCATGGCTCTCCCCAGTGATGGGCTCGCTGTCCCCAGGGCAGACCGTGGGGTCAGTCTGGCAGCCGGGCTGAACGGGGGCGGCCTGCAGGAGGCCTGGAGGTGGGCACCCCACGTCCCGCGCTAACAGCCAAGGGTGCTCGGCTGTGTGCGGGGAGAAGGGGACGCAGCTGGCTGAGCAGCCATCTGTGCCACTGTCCCTGCCCCACCCCTGCTCGTCACCCTGCACAGGGCACAGTCCCTGCTGACCTGCGGTGCCCATGCAGCCCCCAGCCTCTCCCCTCCAGCCTGGTCCCTCTGCCGGTCCACCCGTCCTTTGCTGCCTAGCAGCCACAGGGCCCAGGATGGGTCTGGGTGTGGTGCCAGGCTCACTGCCACATGTGTTCTTTTTGCCATAGGACCCCACCAGTTTGGACAAATTCAATGTCTCCAACTTCTTTCATGTTAAGAATAACATGAAAATAATAGACCCAGGTATGTATGGCCAGGGCTGGCCCGGGTGCCAGGGACTTAGGTAGAAGAGCCTGTGCTCCTAGGTGAAGCCCATACCTCCCTGGGGCTTGAGCGTCTGGGAGTCTCACCCAGGTTTTCACAGGTCTTGCATTTCCTGAGCCCACACTCCATTGTTCTGTGCTGGGGTTGGCAGACCACCCTGGCCCATGCCTGCCATCGGGGACCAGACATGTCGGTGCCAGTCGGGCCATCACCATGGTGCCCAGCCTGGCCATCTCCTTGCCACCCCCGCCCCGTCAGGACTTGGCTCTAGGTCTCTCAGAGCTGCTTCCTTTCCCATGTGTTCGGGGGCCTGGATGGGCCTTCTCCTCAGAGATTGTGTCCCACCACAGGGATGGGCCATTCGTGCTGGCCGCTGGGTGGGTATGGAGGTCCCATGAAGGGTGGTGACTTCTCGTGGCCAGGGGTCCTGTGATGCGAGGTTGTGACCCCTGGGGCTGGGGCCGGTCTGGGGACAGGGCAGTGGCCTCGCTCTTTCTTCCCCCACTGGGTCCTCCCTGGGTTGTTGTGACCAGGAGACTGTGACTGTGACATAAGCTCTGGCCACTTCAGACTCGTGTCCTGGCCGGGGCTCTCAGTGGCTCTGGCCTCCTGTCCCTGTCACAACATCTGGGGATGCTGCTGGGTCTTGGCTGCTCAGGGCGACTGTGCTGTTTTGTAGATGAAGAAAAGGCCAAGCAGGACCCATCTTATTATTTGAAAAACACGAACACGGAGACCCGAGAGACGCTGCAGGAGCTCTACAAGGAGTTCAAAGGGGACGAGATGCTGGCGGCCACCATGAAGGTCCCCGAGAAGACAAAGGTGGACAGGCTGAACGCTGTGAGTAGGCAGCAGGCCTTGCCGCTGCCCTCTTTGCCCCTTGGGTCACTCCTGGGGACGGGGCTGCACTGAGGCTGGCCTGGCAAACCTGGGGCCACCGACAGGTGTGGCCGGCCCGGAGCAGATGTGCTAGGTGGACAGCTGCCCAGTAGCTTCAGTGGTTCCTCGCCCCACAGCTGCCTGGGGTATGGGCAGAGTCACTGCCCTGCGAAGCTGGTTACTCAGTGCCCAGAGCAACCTCAGGGGTGCCAAGCTGCTGGGGGGAGGGAGCCAGTGGTACTGGGGGTACCTGGCACCCGTCCTTACCTTCTCATCCCACACAGCCCACGGTTGGTCCTGGGACCCCCAGTTGGCAGTGAGGGCACCAGGATTTGCACCCTGGCTTGTCAAGCCCCCCTTCCTCTATTCAGGCAGGACCTGGTGAGCTGGGGCTGGGGGACCCTGGGAGGGGGGACCTCTGAGGTGCCCCCCTAAAGAACTGTCCAGAAAACTAAGCGTGCTAAAAGAAGGTTTGTTGTTTATAATCTAATCCCACCTCTAACACGATGGTTCTTAGAATTTTGGTGTATTTCTTTCTCATGGGAAGGAACTTTTTTGTCCTTCTGTTTAGAAGGAAAAAAATCGTTTATTGAGGCTTATTTTTTTCCTGTAGGGACTTAACACATTTAAAAAGAAGCTCCAGTTCTTGGTGCTCTGAACCCCAGAGATGCCCAGGCTCTGCTTGGTGTGTTTTTCTGGGTTTCACTTAACGTGAGAGCTTTGGCAGCCAGGCCTTCAGCCCAGTTGAGACCCGTGGGCTGCTGGCTCACTGTGCCCCTGCTCCCTGGGCCCTTGGGGAGAGGCCAGTGTGGGCTGGGCTGTCCTGTCCCCCTTGGTAGACCCCTGCAGGCACCTGTGGGTGGTGGTCAGGGACACCTTCCTATAGGAGAGGCACCGAGCAGGGCCTGAGCAGCGGGGTGGCCTTGGGCTGAGGAGCCACCGTGGTTTCTTGGCAGGCCCACTATTCCACCGGGAAGGTCAGCGCCTCCTTCACCTCCACTGCCATGGTTCCCGAGACCACGCATGAAGCAGGTAGTGGCCTTTGTCTCCACCACCAGCGTTAACAGCGGCCAAGGGTGGGGTGCCCTCGTCCATGCCCTTCTCAGCGCTGCTCTGTCGCGCCTGGGCTTTGTGGGCTCGTGGGCAACTCAGGAGTGGCCAGGCACGGCCCCTTTTGAAAGTGGGCTTGTGCTTGGGATAGGGGCGGCTGTCCAGGGGGCTCCCTGGTGATGGGAGGCCCTCCCCATGCTGGGGCCACCCCACCTCAGGCTCCAGCCCAAGTCCCACCTTGGCGTTGCCCCCAAGCCCCCTTCCTCTCCTGTTCTTGGCTGGTTGGGCCCCCCTCCCCCCAGCCCTCCCCTCCCTACATCGAGGAGCCGTCAGGCCCCGCTGCCCCACCCTTCCCGATGCCCCTGGGGGCTCCGGGCCGCGGATAGGCAGGCAGGCAGGCAGCTCAGGCCTTTGCTTGCAGCCGCCATTGATGAGGACGTGCTGCGCTACCAGTTCGTGAAGAAGAAGGGCTACGTGCGGCTGCACACCAACTTGGGTGACCTCAACCTGGAGCTGCACTGCGACCTGGTGGGTGAGGTGGCCGCCTGCGAGTGCCTGGCTGCTGGGCCTTGCAAGTCCTTCCTCACTGTCAGGGCCGCCTTCCACTGCCCAAGGGCCCTGGGGGTCCTCGGTACCCTTCCCTGGCCGCCATGTGCCTCAGCGGAGCACCTTGCCTTTTTTGTAGACGCCAAAAACCTGTGAGAACTTCATCAAGCTTTGTAAGAAGCAGTACTACGATGGCACCCTCTTCCACAGGTCCATCCGAAACTTCGTGGTGAGTGCCGTGCGCCAGCCTCCCAGTGCCCACGTGCGGAGTCCTGCAGTGACCCACGTGTACCCAGGGGCCAGCTGGCCACACCAGGCCTCTTGGGGGTGAACCAGGAGGGCCCCATTCTCACCAGGAGCAGCTGGGGGATGGGGGGCAGGGGGGCTGAGGCTCATGGGCACGGCTTCTCACTGGCTGGTTCTTCCTGCAGATACAGGGGGGTGACCCCACGGGCACAGGCACAGGTAGGTGCTCGTGCTGGGCCCCTGGGGACTCTGGCTGCGCCACAGGCTCTGAGGGCAGGGGCGTGGGGACTCTGCTAGCCCCACGTGCTGTTTCCTCGTTCCAAGGTGGTTGTGAGGCCTCAGCCACAGATGAAGGGTTGGGGGCACGTTACCTCCCGCTGGGCCTCCAGGGGCACCCCCTCTGTCCACAGACCAAGGAGGCCTACAGTGGGTGGAGGTTGGGCCCCACCCTGGATGCTGCCCCTCCAAAGCCCCCCTTAGCCTGCCAGCTGCTTGGGCCAGCTCATCCCTCACCCTGTGTTGTGTGAGCAGGAACCATCCATCTCCTTGGCACTTTACTCCCTGTTCTGTGGGCCGGGCCCTAACCAGGGGCTCTGGGGGCCGTGGGGGGGGGGGGGGGTCCGGGGGGGGGGGGGGGGTTGGTGATGAGGACCCCAGGGATTGGGCACGGGTTTTTGAGCTGGGCCGCGTCCCAAGAGCTGCGCTCAGCTGGGACCTGGTCATTCTTGCTGCCACGTCCCCCCTCCTCCTCCAGGGGGGGAGTCGTACTGGGGAAAGCCCTTCCGAGACGAGTTCCGGCCCAACCTCTCGCACACGGGCCGCGGCGTCCTCAGCATGGCCAACTCGGGGCCCAACACCAACAAGTCTCAGTTGTGAGTCAATGGGCGGCCATGGGAGGGGCCCGGGGAGGGGGTGGTCCTGCAGGTTCTCCGTCAGCCTCACCCTACATATTGTGCCCCCGACCCCGAATCCAATCCAGAAAGTGTGGGGACATGCGCAGACCTGCCTGAGCGCTGGGCCTGTGCACCTGCACGTAAAACGAGTCAGCCGGCAACCCCACGCCTCGTGGTGGTGCCTGCGACAGGCCAGGGCGGCACCAGATGTGGGTGTGGATGTGGATGCCTGGCCGGGGGGCGGAGACCCAGTGAGGGGTCGGGAATTCTGCTGTGAGTGTTTTGGCGTTAGATGCCCAGGACACCCACCTTGGTCCTAGTAGGTCTAAGTTTTGGTGCTGAGAGGGTGAGAACAGGCTAGATGTACAGGCTTGGGCAGCCTGTGTCCAAGTGTCAGTGGAAGGTGGGGGGCGGCGCAGGGGAGCTGCGGGGCCGCAGAGGAGAGTGTTTTCCCAGGAGCCACACGCTGCCTGCGGAGGTTGGTTTGGGCCACATGGCCACTGATGGCGCGTCAAGGACGGTTTGGGTGGCGGCTCGCATGCACCTTTGCTGGCTTCATCTGCAGAGCCGCCTGGCTTGGTGGAATGGGGCCCCAGGTGGAGTGTTTCTCTCCCGCTCAGCCTTCTCTAGGAGCTTTATGAGTTCATCTACGTTTCTTGATTCATGATTCTTAAAAATCCTTAATTTTTTACCTGTGTTCCAGATATTTTCCCAGACTTTAAAAATTTCGGGGAAAGGTGGCACATGTTTTTACATCTTTCCTGTGGCATTTCCACTTGTGCTTAAGGAGTCCCCAGTGCCATCGTGCGTGTGTCTCGGGGAAGTTGTGGAAGGCTTTGATTTTGGGATCTCGCTTGTCCGTGGTGATTGTGTGTGACGTGGGCACAGCGTTTGTTTCCTCCCAGTTGTGCTGGTGTCACTCAGAGCAGTCCCCTCCCCAGGTGGATGGCAGCCTTGCTGGCAACTGAACAGTCAGGATGCCCGTCACAGTCTGTCAGGTGGCTAGTTGGCCCCCAGGCCATCGTGGGCACTAGTGGAGCGGGGAGGGGCCCCCGAAGGGCGGAACACCCCCTCCTGCCTGATGGGTGGTCCCCTGTCTTAGGTGACTTGTTCCCAGTGATTTCCTGCTCATCCTCCAGCGGAGCCCCTGAGAGAGCTTCCCACAGAGAAGGCACTTCCCGCCAGCCATGAGGGCCTCGGGTCGTCCTCCTCGTGCCCTGGCACTCGGCACCTTCCTGTGGGAATTGGCTCTCACTCTGTTGTTCCTTCCGCCAACGTTACACTTAACCTGCTCACACCAGCTCCACACTGGGCTCTGCAGTGAGTTCCAGGAGGTCCACCCTCACTATTTGTTTGCACGTTGCTTTGGCTCTGATTGCTTATTCTCTAATCTGGATTTTATTTTAATTGGAGCGATGTGATGTGTGTTTTTTTAATTTATTTAATTAAAAAATTTTTTTTGTGACGTGTGCTTTGGAACAACGGACGTGCGTGGTGTAGTTTCCATCTAAGGATGTGCCTTGACTTCTCCTTGGATGCCTTCTATTTTCTAATGCGATTTTACAGTTTCTTCACATGGGTCCTTTGCCTTCCTGGATAAAGCAATTCCTTAAGGATTTTGTAGTTTGTGATATTTTTGTAAACAGATTTTTTCCCCCTAATTCTGGGTGGTTATTGTTCATGTAGAGAAAAACTATTATTTAGGCACTTTATCAAATTCTCTTATATTTCCAGTAGTTTACTGAAACTCTTAGGCTTCGTAGACATTCACGTTATCAGCTTGAGGGGGTGTCCTCTCCTTCCTGGTGCAAGCATGGTCCCGTCACCATCAGGCTGTGCGGGGGAGGACATGGGCTCTGTTGCGTCACCCGGTCAGGTTTGCTGTGGACCTACTTTCTCAAGTGAGGTTGCTGAGTTTGCAGATGCTTTCCTGTAGCGTCTGTCACTGTAACATATGCTGTTTTTCTCCCGGAGGCTGTGGGCCAGCCTTTCTGCTGTGTCCGTGTGTTTGTCCTGGCCAAGATTGTAGACTGCTGCTCCCTCCACATGGGGGCCGGCCTGGGTCATCTGTGCTGGTTTGATGGGGATCTGAGTACCGTGGGCGCTGCCCATGGGGCGAGGTGGCCGGCGCCTTCTGGGGGGACAGCTGAGCAGCTTTGGAGGCGAGGCAGCTGTTGTGACCTCACTGGACAGGGACGGCCGCAGAGCGTCCTGCTGACCCTTAGGTGGGCTTTGCTGCTCCGGCCAAGCACTGATTCACATTTTGCCGGAATGGGACTCACCCATCTCTGGATTCTCAGCCTGTGTCCATGCATCCCCCTCTCTCCCCATCCCTGACCACATCTGTGTCCGTTCTTCCTCAGGGCTTACAAGGGTTGTCTGCTCTCACTTTCTCTGTAGTTATTTTCAGTTTTTACCTCGAATTGCTTCTTCCTGGTTTCTGTTCTCTCCTTTCTTATCGGCCTGTGCGTCCCCCGCCCACTGCTTGCTGGTGGCTGGTGGTTCCGTCTGTCTCATCCTGGCAGGGCTATGTGGCAGGTTTCTTAGCCCCATGGGGCTGGGTGGGTGCTCTGCGTGCTATTGGCAGGGCCGGTGGTGTCACCTTTTTTTATTATTTCCAACTCTGCTTAAATAGCCAGTAAAACCGCTGCTGGATTGGTGGCGGTTTTCTCTTTTTATTTCTAATATTATCGGGTGTTTTGTCTTTTCAAAGAGCTAATTTTAGACTTTATTTCCTTTCTGTTATGCCTTGGTCTCCCTTTTGTTGTTTTTCTGTTTTCCTCCTGTTACTTTAGGTTTATTCCATTCTCTCTTGAGTTTCTTTAACTGTGTTAGAAGTGAGAATAGGAGACCTGCCTGGCGGCTGGAGGTCGGGGATGCACAATTCCGCGATTTTTGACGTCTGGCAGCCCGATGGGCTTGGAAGGCGTGCACTCCCTGGGCGGCTGCTGACGCGTGTTGATGGAGCTCGGTCCCGCACGGGCTGTGGGGATGTGGGGGCATTGCTGCACTTCTCTGGGGACTGCTCCATGTTGCGACCATCGCCACACTTCCTGCCTGTATCCCTTCTGTCTGCTTCCATCCTTCTTTTAGACTTGTAGATTCTTGAAGTCTTAAAGCAGTATCTTACACAGCACACACCTAGATCTTGGTTTATTTTAATTCAGCCTGACAGTCCTAAGTGTATTTAACTTTCTAGTCACTGTGCTGCTTCTGGTGATCTTAATTTGTTTTCTACTTAGTCTTTTCTTCTATTTCTGTTTCCTTCTTTTCGCTCTCTCCTGGTTTGGAACTTAGACGTTTTCCTTGTGGCCACGAAGCACATCCGTCTAATGTCTGAAGTTACTGGTTAGCGCCCTACCCGCCCCCCCCAGTCAACCCGCCGGCTCTCACATCCGTGTCCTCGGGGAGTTTAATTTGCCTTTTTAAAAAAATTTATTTATTTATTTATTTTTGGCTGTGTTGGGTCTTCGTTGCTGCATGCGGGCTTTCTCTCTAGTTGTGGCGAGCGGGGGCTACTCTGTTGTGGTGTGGTGGCTTCTCTTGTTGCGGAGCACGGGCTCTAGGCGCGCGGGCTTCAGTAGTTGTGGCATGTGGACTTCAGTAGCTGTGGCTTCTGGGCTCTAGAGCGCAGGCTCAGTAGTTGTGGCGCACGGGCTTAGTTGCTCCATGGCATGTGGGATCCTCCCGGACCAGGGCTTGAACCCGTGTCCCCTGCATTGGCAGATGGATTCTCAACCACTGCATCACCAGGGAAGCCCCCTAATTTGCCCATTTTTATACCAAATTAAACATGAAGATTTTTGAGGTTGGCCCTTGTGTCCCTTTCCCACGTGTGTCTGTGTCCGGACCCCTTCTTGCTTGTTGCCTCCTTTCTTCCAGGCTACAGTCTGTGGTCCTGTAGTCAGTCTCTTGATGGGACGGGCTGTGGGCACAGCGTCGGCCCAGGAGGAGGTTGGCGGCGGTCAGGCCTGGAGGCAGAGCCCCTGCCCCTTCCTGCACGGCCTGGTAGGGGGCCAAGGCAGGCAGGTGGGGAGGCGCAGGCTCTCCCTGACCATCCCTCTTTCCCTAGCTTCATCACCTTCCGCTCCTGCGCGTACCTGGACAGGAAGCACACCATCTTCGGGCGGTAAGGAGCTGCACGTGAGGTCTGTGTGTGTCGGGGGTGGGCGGCTACCTTCCCCTGGGCTGGGCCTGCTCCCACTTGCCCCGTCTGTGTCTCTGCACAAGTGGGAGCTTGGGGCTTCTCTGGCGGGGGATGGGGGTGGGCAGGGAGTTGGGCCCTCTGGACCTGAGACCCGTCCCAGTGGCCTACCCAGCGCCCTGCCTGCACCCTCAGGCTCTCCGTTGAATGGTCCCGAGTCTTAAAGCTGGGCCACATCCTGTCTCTCTCCCCATCTCCTGTCTGGAGCTCGGTACCCATCCTGTGAAGGCCTAGATGGTATTTCCAGCTCTGTGGCTTCATGGTCTCTGTCACACCCCCTCTCTGGTCGTAGCACAAAATCAGCTACAGGCATTATGAGCGTGGACGGGTCCCGATCAATCTTTGTTGATAGAGCTGGCAGGCAGCTGGACTTGGCCACCAGCCGGGCCCGGGGACCCCGCCCTTCATCTCTGGGTCCTACTGGCTCCTTCTGGAGCCACTCTGTGCCCCTGGCCTGCACAGGAACATGGCCTTTGGGGGTGCCCTGCCCTGGGCACATTCTCAGGTGCCCCATCGCTCTGCTGCAGGGTTGTTGGAGGCTTTGACACACTGACGGCCATGGAGAACGTGGAGAGTGACCCCAAAACTGACCGCCCTAAGGTATGTGCCCGGGAGCATGGGGGCTGCTCCTCAGGCTTGGCACTGGGCAGGCCCTAGGTGGGCTGGGGGCATGCGCCGGCTCTGCTCACCCCCTCCCGCCCCCACCAGGAGGAGATTCGCATGGACTCCACCACAGTGTTTGTGGACCCCTACGAGGAAGCCGATGCCAAGGTGAGGGGGGCACTCGGGGCCCGTTCCGTCCCCAGGAGCCCCACCCGGCCCAAGGGCTCCAGGCCAGACACTCCCCTGCCTGCCACAGATCGCTGAGGAGCGGAAGAAGACGCGGCTGGAGGCAGCGGCCCTGGAGAGCACAGCCAAGACCAGCCAGCCCCAGCAGGGGAGCCAGGGCCCCCAGACGTACCGCCGGGGAGTGGGCAAGTACATCAGCCCGGTGGTCACGTGAGTCTCCACGGTGCTCTCCCTGCACTTACCGCCGGGGGGTGGGGCAGCTGGGGGCACCAGCATGAGCTCGCTGCTGGGGGGCGCCTTGGTGCAGGGTGAAGGAAGGGGGGGTCGGGGCCTGGTACCCACATGGCAGCTCTTGTCTGCTGCTTCTCTCCCCAGGAAACGGGTAGCAGAGGAAGAACCCTCCACCAGTGCAGCTGTCCCCGTGGCCAAGAAAAAGCCCAGCCGAGGTTTTGGGGACTTCAGCTCGTGGTAGCAGGCTGGCCGCTCTGGATTCTGGTAGGGACTTGGACTGTGTCCCGAGTTGTCTGCCCTTTGAGCTGCAACTCAATAAAGCTCTGGTCTATTGGCCTGGGTCCTCTTTCCTGGCCTTGGGAGTCCACGGGCCACCTCTTCTCTCCCTGGGTAGGACGGCCTGGCCCTGTCTCCACGTCTGCTCCTCTGCCTCAGTCAGGAGGGCAAAGCCAGCTGGCTCCCGCTGTTCCTGGCAAAGGGCGAGCAGAGGTCCTGGGAGCTGGTGTCTGTCGTCCCCCCAGCCCCTGCCAACTCCTCTCCAGCCTCAGGGCCTGGCCTTGTGCTCACACACGACCTGGGGACCTGCTCGGTGGTGTCTCTTCCTACTGAAGATCTTCAAAGCCTACCCTTTCTGCGCCCTCCATCCCACAGTCCTCCTGACTGTGATGATGCTCCCTCGGCTTCCAGAAGCTCCCGTGGAAGCTGAGGGACAGCTGCCTCCTCCCAGGACCCGTCTACTCCCTCTGCAAGGCCAACAGGGCCATCACTGCCCTCCCCTACTCTCAGCACTTGTGTTCTCGGGTCAGCAAGGCCACCACCCCCTTGGGCTCTGGTCCCGTTTCTCTCCTTTCCTGCCTCACCCGAAACCTCACGTCAGTGAGTGCCAACAGCTCTTACTTCTAGAAGGTACTGTGGCTCTTTCCGCGTCTCTGCTTCTGAGCCCTGGGCCTGTCTCACCTGCCTCCTCTGAGCCTCGTGTGCAGGTCCCCATGGATGGCGGCGCCTTCCCTGCACACGGACCCACCGTGCAGCCCGTCCTCCGAGGCCCCTGCCCATGACCATCAGCTGGGACCTGGGCTCGACGGTGACCTTTCCACTCCCCCGATGCCTTGGGCCAGGCTGCTGTCCCTCACGTCTTCCCAACCCTCTCTCCATTAAGGGGCTTACACGCCCATGCTGTCTCCGGGAGCTGGGGTCACGGGGATGAGGTGGCCAGGCCTGGTGACGGCCAGCCTAAGTGCTCTTGTGGGCCACACGGGGACGCTTGCCTAGGGCGCCTGGACCCCCAGATTGGGGGCTCCGCCCTCAGCAGCTCCTTGGCTACCCCATCAGGTCGCGAGACCTGTGATGCTGCTAACTAGGAGACATTGGATGTTGGAAGCTTTATTTTTAAACCTCACACAGACAGAGGACGGAGAGCCGGACGTGGGGCCAGAGGAAGCCTGTGCATATGAGCTTGGCAGTCCTGCTTGAGGGGCAAACCTTCGGGCTGGCCTGGGCTTCTGTCCATCCGTCTGTCTTGCAGCCATGCCCAACTGCCCTGAGGGAAGGCCGGCCACCCTGGGCTGCAGCCCCGCGGCGCCACCCACAGTGAAGGACAGGCCTGCCCAGAGCCTTAGACAAATGAGGGTTTACATTTCTGTAGGTCGTTTTGAGCTTAAATTGTAGTTTTCTAGACATTAAAAACATTCAGATTTTGTTAATTCCCTGGTGAGATTATCAGGTAAATTAAAGAACTTTTTAAACAACTCCCATTTCTGATCCCTCCTAATATCTGACAGATGCCATCAAGAATAAGCATTAAGGTATAAAAATACTGTATATGTACTGTGCAGAAGACATTACATAGTTTAACTTAAATGCATTTATAATCCTGGCATCACCTCCCACTCTTCGCAAGGAAAAAAAATATCTTAAATAAATAAAAGTCACAGGGTGATATTTACTGTTTAGGAATTTAAAAGGGTGGCGCATCCCAGCACTTGACCAGCACATCTGGTTGTGGTCTCGTGAGTGTCCGTCCTCGAAGCTGCTCACGGTCAGTTCATTTGGTTTCAAAAGGAGCTCGGATTTTGCAGAAGACTAACAAGAAAAGTGTTAAGAGTCTTTGTTGGTGTCAGCTACAAAAATACAAAAGTCATCATGGACCACTGGTAAAAACACTTCGATGCCACCACAGAGACGGCACAAAACCAAAGTGCTCAGAGCAGAGGAGCAGTAACTGTGCCCAGAACATACAAAAGCTCTAAATATAAGTTGAGTGTATACAAAGGAATTTTAGGAGGTTCCTCAGCGTCAGGAAGCATCTTTTGGAGAAGCAGCTGGGCCACAGGCTGAAGCTTGGGGAGGAAGCCCGGCTGAGGAGCCGCTGGCTCAGGTGGGGTCTCAGGGATTTGTACTCACGTCTCAGGGAAGGTGCTGGCTGGGCCTTCACGGGGCACTGAGGACCAGGCCCAGGGCCCAGCTTGGGAGGTGGCAGAGTGCCTGCAGTGGAGGTCTGCGCTGTGCCAAGCACTTCCCTTGGCAACTTGAGATGCATTCAGGCCCGCTGGTCACCCTCGTGGACGACCCGGCAGGCAGCACACTCCCCACGATCCAGGCTGCAGGTCCAGGCAGAGATGGTGTCAAAGGGAAGCCCAGGTGAGTGGCTGGGGGTCAGGGGAGGGCCACCCACCAACTGGCAGCCAGTCCCTCTCTGTCCCCAGCCAGCTCACGCTTGTGGCCATAGAACTAACCTCGTCTGAAGGAGTTTGGGAGCTGGCCTGTACCCTCCTCTCTTCCCCCCGCCCTCAGCCCTCTCTCTGACCCTCAGCACTGGGGTCCCAGGAGTCTCATGACCCGGTGACCACACTGATGGCCCCCAGACGCCCAGTGGCAGGCTGGGCCCACTGGCCAGAGCCAGGTAGAACACTGAAAACGAAAACTGTTGTGGGAATGCCTTTTGGCCTCCATTCTCTGCAAAGCGGCCAGAACCCGTGGGTGGTGCCCACTCCGTGCATAGGCACAGTAAGTCGGAACTTGAACCTGTGGCAGAAACGCAGGACTCGGGAGGCTGGCTGCTGGGCCTTGCCTGTGTCGGCCCACAGGACAGAACCAGGGAGGCACGGGGACCTGTTGAGCAAACCAAACATCTTCACTGCAAAGTTTAAACCTGTCTTCCAACTGTAACCTTTTGCAAAATTTTAAAACTATCTGGCAAATGTGGAAGCTTAGCCTGCTCTGGCCTCTTTCAAATATGCAAAAAATAATTCTTTTTTTTCAAGTACATCAGAGTAGAAAAGGAAACCCGATTTCCCTTGGTCCAGCGCGTTCCACTCTTAACTCCATGGACCAGCCGCCCAGTGCCTGACCTGGAGCCCCCATGGGCCTGGGCCTGCACACTGGCCCAAGACCGTCTCTGCTAACGACTCGTTCACTCGCCTGTGAGATAAGGAAGCTACTGGCTTAAATAAACATGTTACATTAGACACATTTCTCTATAGCTTATCTAAAATGTTATTACTGGTGGCCTCTGTTTTTGAACAAGGCTAAAAAACACCCTTCGTGCATAGATTCATAGATTTCTGAGAGATTCCTAAGTAAGCAGTGCCCTCACAGCTCATCTGCAAGAAGAATAACCAACGTTGTTGTTCCGCGAATCGGGGAGAAGTTACCATACCTTCTCTCCAAACAAGAGGGGAACCTGGCTCTCCGAAGAGACCTCCCTGTGGGCTTTGGGGCTTCGGTCTGGTTTTCTATCAAACACGAAGGAGCACAGCCAAACTATCTTAAAGGCATTGGTTAAAGAAGGTGTTAGCTGGATGGATAAGTCACCAGTTGGTTAGGTCTTTTCTCTACATCTTGAGAAATTAGAAAAAGGGCATTGAAACTTTTCAGAAATAACCGTGTTATTGAAGAAGACACAGATTGGAGGGACGCCTTACCCAGGGGATTGGCCTGGAGAGGCCGCCTGTGAGGCTCGAGTTCAAGAAACTGCCATCAGATGTGCCTATGTTTCCATTACTTTTACCGTCTCTTTCACAAAATCGTATTCAAAAGTTTTCACTTTACTCCCAACCATTGTCTTTGATCATGTGAGCAAGCTCAATGATAAATTTTCCTTCCTTATATTTCTGACTGCTCTCAAAGGCGTGTTCCTTGAAAAGAGAGAGACAAGGTTTCAGGACAGAATCGGTTTTGTTTTTCAACTTCATTTTACACTTTGCAAAGAAAATAACTGCAGTATCATGTCTCCCCAGACGCCCCTTGCGCCGTGTGGTCCAGGGCAGGGGAGGGGTGGCTATCTGGGTGACCAGCCCTCAGGAGCAGGGCAGGTCTGGCCTGGACTCGCAGAGTGATGGTGAAACTTGTTGGGAACTATTGATTCAAGTTTGTTACTGAGCACCGACCACGTGCAGGGCAGTTTGGGAAGGGAAGCCAAGCAAAGGCCTCCTTCCCGGGACTCCAGGTACAGGGGAGTGAAGTCCTCAGGGTCACAGATGGTGGACAGGGGAAGGCCCTTCTCGGGGGCGAGGGATGCAGTGGCTCAGACACAGCCCCCCCGTGCTGGAGTCTGGGGGTGGGTGGTGTGTGGGACAGGACCAGGGCACAGGGCCCAGGCGGGTCCTGGGGGTGGGCCCCGAGGGGTCTGCTGTGAGCACAACTGCAGGGTCATGTCCAGTCCCCCACCTCCCACCTGGCTGGTGACCATCCCTCCCTCCCCCAGTCTATGGACTCTAAAAGATGTGGTTTTAAAACGTGTTCCTTGACTGGCAGCACCTATCCCGCTTCCTGGCATGTTTTGTTTCCACTGGGAACGTGTTCTTTATTACAGCGGACCCGCGGTCACTCACGTATTTCCACCCGAGTGTGGTCTTGCAGTTCTCACAGTAGATGTCCGCCACGGCATGCAGGCCGGTGAGAAGGACCCGCTCCTCCGCAGGGCCGCAGCCCACGTTCACCCTGTGGGGAGGAGGCGCTGGGACCCTCATGGGGCCCCGGGCCTACAGTTCTGCCCCCACCAGCTGTTCCCAGGACACAGGGTGTCCTTCCTGACTCCCCCCACCTTTGAACAACTTCTTGCCTCCCCCGAGAATTCAGGATGGGACAGGCTGTGGGGAGGGGTCCACAGTCCTGCTGTCTCGGTGGAAATCAAGATCTACCCTAGTGGGAAACAAACCACACCCAGCCTGGGAAAAAAGCATCTGCTTTTCCGAGCCCTCGATGGCAGCGAGCACTGGCAGGCTCTCAGGAGCAGCACGCGGGGCCTGGTGGCAGACACGGCACTGGCAAGGCCAAGGCAGTGGTACTCACACTGAGTTGAAGAGGTAGGCTCGTCCCTGACTTCCCTGAAAGGACTGCAAAGAAGAAAGGGGGGTTAAAGGCTTTGTCGTGGTCAGATGGAAGTGACGCCATTCATCACCAGCCGGAACGCAAGGCCACGTCGGGGCGGCTCCACCCAGAGGGCCAGGCTTGATTATTTTAAAGAACAGCTTACTACTGGCTTTGGGGTCCTTTGAAAGAAGCACCTCAAATTCCTTTTCGACACTAACAACCCACTCCCCCCACCGTGTGGCCAGAGCAGTGCCTGAGCTACACGGCCGATCTGGAGGCCCCAGAGCAGCTCTCCCTCCGAAGCTGGTGCTGAGGGGCTGCCCTTCCACTGAAACTTCTGAATGGCCACAGAAGCAGTGATGGCACAGACACCACCTTATCTGATGGCTTTCCCTTAAGATGATGGACCCAGGACTTCCCTGGTGGTCCAGTGGTTAGGACTCTGCACTTCCACTACACGGGGCACAGGTTCCATCCCTGGTCAGGGAACTAAGATCCTGCAAGCCGCACGTGTCCCCCCCCCCAAAAAAAGGACCCTGTCACTTATCACAAGTACAGAGATGATGTTCTAACTGCCTGAAACAAGAGGCCTAAGCATGGATTCCAGAAGCTTCTTGATGACTTTGTTTTCAAAGGAGCAGAAGGCTCCTGCCCAGGGAGGCAGACTTAGAGGACGGGTGGGGGTCGTGACCCACAAGCACGGGGAGGGAGGACAATCACTGTCTCCCGAGGGATTGTTTTAAATGTTCCCAAGTGGTTGGTTATAAACAGGACAAACTGCTAGTCAAGAGTTCAAGGCAATGAGGCAGGTCCTGCCCTCTTCACCCCCAGGGGGCTGCTCGTGGCCCCCACAGCACCGTGGCCCTGGCAGAGCTTCCCTCCCAGGCTCTTTCCTGAAAGATCCAATTGCCCCCAAGGCAGCCTCTTCTCTTCTTAACCATTCTGAGTTTTAAAATTTTCTTAATTCCCTTATTATGAAACTATTTCCACAGATTTTCCAGGCTTCCTTTGTACTGTCCACGTCCTCTGGCTTTACATGAATTTAACTGCTCTTACAAGTCACTGGCTCATCTTACTGTGGGATCTTCAGAGGCCCGTGGCCTGGCCCCCAAAACCCACGACTCGGCCAAGACCACGATGTAGCTGCCCCCACTCACACACACAATTTCCCTCAGTGCCATCCACAGGGCTCCAGACATTCTGGGCCCAGCAAACCCAGGAGGCCATGGGGTGGTTCAGTATTTGTCTACACTTAGGCTCAGTGATCATGGCTGAGGACAGCCTACTGAGTTCTTGACCAGACACTTGCCTTGGAGATCAGCTCATCGTGATTGGCCAGGTGGGCCCTGCAGTGGACACAACTGTACGTTCGGTGGCAGTTTGGCAGATACGCTTGGAAAGTTTTGGACCTTGTCATCTTCACCATCTCTGCTGGG